GTCGTTCCCAGTCTGAGCAGGGCTTTAATTTGCTGATCAGCTCTTAATTGCATTAGCAGCCAGGCCTCCTCATCTGCAGGAAGATAAATCTGCATTGACCCCGGAGGGCAGCCTTCCACGAAAGTTCACCAGGCAGCCCAATCAATGGGAGGAAGGGCTTTCGGATGGGTCTGGCCAGGTGATGTTCCAGGAGGGGCTCCCAAAGAAGCCCAGGAAAATGGGTGCGCAGTCCACGGCCCTGATCATAAAGAACTACAGAAGGGACACCAAAGGTCATCAATATTCCTGTAGCCTTGGATCTCTCCTCACTTGCATAGGTCCAGGTCTGAACTAGGGCTGCCTTTGAAGAAGGCCCAGAAACCTTTTCACTGAAGCTGTCTGTTTCCTTGCTGAGCATCAAAAGCATACTTGCATCTGTGGCATGGTGGCCAGTGGAGTTCTAGGTGCAATTCTGTACACAAGGGCTAAACTGCTCGGGTTAAGAGAGGTAAAGGTCTTTTCCTTGTTTCTATAGGTCTCTGAGGAATGGTTCCTCAGTAAGAGAGAAATGGCTTTTGAGAATGTGCTGCAGAAAAGAAGGTTCCTACTAAATCCAGAGAGAGCCTGAAGCTGCTGTCTATCTGTAGTCTTCAGAGCCCTCTCGAGATCCTATTGAGTTCCATTTGGTCTGAATGGGGGTAGGGAAAAGGCAGAACTACTTAATGCCTTCTTTGCCTCGGTCTTCTCACAAAAAGAAAGTCATCTTCAACCTCAGCAAGATGGAGTGGATGAGGGATTAGAGGACATCCAACCCCAAATTGGGAAACAAGTCGTCCAGGAATACCTGGCCGCTCTAAATGAGTTCAAGTCCCCTTCCAGGGCCAGATCTACACCCAAGAGTACTGAAGGAACTAGCGGAAGTCATTTCGAAACCATTGGCAATCACCTTGGAGAGTTCTTGGAGAACAGGAGAAGTTCCAGCAGACTGGAGGAGGGCCAATGTGGTCCCAATCTTCAAGAAGGGAAAAAAGGATGACCCAAACAATGACCAATGTCCGGTCAGCCTCACGTCGATACCAGGCGAGATTCTGGAAAAGATGGTTAAGGAAAGGGTCTGCAAACACTTAGAAACAAATGCAGTCATCGCTAATAGTCAACATGGATTTATCAAAAACAAGTCATGCCAGACTCATCTGATCTCTCTTTTCGATAGAGTTACAAGCTGGGTAGATGCGGGGAATGCCGTGGATGTGGCGTACCTGAATTTCAGGAAGGCCTTCTTCGGCAAGGTCCCCCATGACCTTCTGGCTAGGAAACTAGTCCAATGTGGGCGAGGCAAAACTACAGTGAGGTGGATCTGTAATTGGTTAAATGGACGAACCCAGAGGGTGATTCTCCCCAAAGCTTCCTCTTCATCTTGGAAAAAAGTAACGAGTGGAGTGCCGCAGGGTTCCCTTCGTGATCCAGTCCTGTTACAGGGTTAGAAGGCAGGATCATCAAGTTTGCAGACGACACCAAATTGGGAGGGAGAGCCAATAGTCCAGAGGACAGGAGCAGGATTCAAAACGATCTTGACAGATTAGAGAGATGGGCCAAAACTAACAAAATGAAGTCCAACAGGGACAAATGCAAGATACTCCACTTTGGCAGAAAAAACGAAATGCAAAGATACAGAATGGGGGACAATGCCTGGCTCGAGAGCAGTACGTGTGAAAAAGATCTTGGAGTCCTCGTGGACAACAAGTTAAACATGAGCCAACGATGTGATGTGGCGGCAAAAAAAGCCAATGGGATTTTGGCCTGCATCAATAGGAGCATAGTGTCTAGATCTAGGGAAGTCATGCTCCCCATGCTATATTCCGCTTTGGTTAGACCACACCTGGAATATTGTGTCCAATTCTGGGCACCACAATTCAAGAGAGATATTGACAAGCTGGAATGTGTCCAGAGGAGGGCGACTAAAATGATCAAGGGTCTGGAGAAACAAGCCCTATGAGGAGCGGCTTAAGGAGCTGGGCATGTTTAGCCTGAAGAAGAGAAGGCTGAGAGGAGATATGATAGCCATGTATAAATATGTGAGAGGAAGCCACAGGGAGGAGGAGGGAGCAAGCTTGTTTTCTGCTTCCTTGGAGACTAGGACGCAATGGAACAAAGGCTTCAAACTACAAGAGAGGAGATTCCATCTGAACATGAGGAAGAACTTCCTGACTGTGAGAGCCGTTCAGCAGTGGAACTCTCTGCCCCGGAGTGTGGTGGAGGCTCCTTCTTTGGAAGCTTTTAAACAGAGGCTGGATGGCCATCTGTCAGAGGTGATTTGAATGCAATATTCCTGCTTTTTGGCAGAATGGGGTTGGACTGGATGGCCCAGGAGGTCTCTTCCAACTCTTTGATTCTATGATTCTATGATTCTGCCTCTTACATATATAGAAGAAAGATGTGGTCTCCAAAGAACATGTGTCCACTTGACAAGTGGAAAAACAGAGGCCCAAAAGACCCACATTTTGCCCTCTTTCCTTTTTCACATGGCTTGCCTTCCTTCTCTGGAGGCCAAAGACTTGCTTCCTTGTCCATCGGCACACTCTCTGTTCTTAATGCTTTCTGTTGGCACACCAAATTTGCCTTGTTGTGACCCTTTTGTAAGTCACAGGGATAGAAACACAGCAAATAAATAAAAATGGCTTCTTAACGGCTGTTTCGCTTCTCGTTCACCTTTGCAAAGGCTAATCGGCTTGAAAGTTGGAACACGTTTTGCTACCTGCAAATTGGACGGAGCAATCGATATCTGCGATTGCTCAAATGTCAGGCCGGCTTTGGGAAAGGGAGAGGCGGCAACCAACGCAAGAGAGCCTGCTGTTTTGCTGGATGTTGCAAACTGCCATGGAAATGGCCTTTTGGAGTCTCTTTCGCTCACAGCAAACTCAGGCTTTTCACTTTTGCTCTCCAGCCATCTCTGTGGGCCTGGTTTCTGGTGCCAAAAAATCTCGCAAATCTCTCCCATCAATAAGACCAGCAGCATGAACCTCTACAGCAGTGGATCTCAACCTTCCTAATGCCGCGACCCCTTAATAAAGTTCTTCATGTTGTGTTGACCCCCAACCATAAAATTATTTCCATTGCTATTTCATAACTGTAGTTTTGCAACTGTTATGTATCCTCATATGAATATCTGATATGCAAGGATGTATTTACATTCATTGGACCAATTTTGGCACAAATACCCGATATGCCCAAATTTGAATACTGGCGGGGTTAGGAGGGGATTGATTTTGTCATTTGGGAGTTGTAGTTGCTGGGTTTTATAGTTCACCTAAATCAAAGAGCATTCTGAACTCCACCAACGATGGAATTGAACCAAACGTGGCACAAAACTCCCATGACCAAGAGAAAACACTGGAAGGGTTTAGTGGGCACTGACCTTGAGTTTTGGAGTTGTAGTTCACCTACACCCAGAGAGCACTGTGGACTCAAACATTGATGGATGTGGACCAAACTTGGCAGAAATACTCAATATGTCCAAATGTGAACACTAGTAGAGTTTGGGGGAAATAGACCTTGACATTTGGGAGTTGTAGTTGCTGGGATGTATAGTTCACCTACAATCAAAGAACATTCTGAACCCCACCAATGACAGAATTGGTCCAGACTTCCCACACAGAACCCCCATAACCAACAGAAAATACTGGGCTTTCTAATGGTCTTTGTCGACCCCTCTGACACCCCCTCATGACCCCCCTCGGGGTCCCGACCCCCAAGTTGAGACCCACTGCTCTACAGAAATCTCATCCCCAACCAATATGGGTTTAGACAACACGTGAGGATGGCCTTCATGAAGTAAATTAAGATGCTTGTTAATTAAAACACATACACAAGTTGAGCATCCCTTCTCCAAAATGCTTGGGACCAGAAGTGTTTAGGATATCAGGTTAATGAATACCTGTATTTTCCCATCATGGAGAAGGGACCCAAGTCTGAACACAATGTTCATTTATGTTTTGTAGTTTTATATGATGGTTTTATATAGAACTAATGTATATGCGGTGTTGCTAAGGTTTGCCTTTTCTTTGTGATGCTTTCTTTCTTGCTTTCCTTCCTCCTTTTCCTTTTACACCTTGTCCCTCTCTGTCTTCTTCCTTTCTGTCTGTGCTTTCCCTCATTCACCTTTCCCTTCTTCTTTTTTCCTTTTCCTTCCCTCTATTTCAGTGTTTCTCAACCTGGGGGTCAGGACCCCTGAGGGGGTCGTGAGGGGGTGTCAAAGGGGTTGCCAAAGACCATCAGAAAACATAGTATTTTCTGTTGGTCATTGGGATTCTGTGTGGGAAGTTTGACCCAATTCTATTGTTGGTCGAGTTCAGAATGCTCTTTGATGGTAAGCGAACACCTGGAATATTGTGTCCAATTCTGGGCACCACAATTCAAGAGTGATATTGACAAGCTGGAATGTGTCCAGAGGAGGGCGACTAAAATGATCAAGGGTCTGGAGAACAAGCCCTATGAGGAGCGGCTTAAGGAGCTGGGCATGTTTAGCCTGAAGAAGAGAAGGCTGAGAGGAGATATGATAGCCATGTATAAATATATGAGAGGAAGCCACAGGGAGGAGGGAGCAAGCTTGTTTTCTGCTTCCTTGGAGACTAGGACGCAATGGAACAATGGCTTCAAACTACAGGAGAGGAGATTCCATCTGAACATGAGGAAGAACTTCCTGACTGTGAGAGCCGTTCAGCAGTGGAACTCTCTGCCCCGGAGTGTGGTGGAGGCTCCTTCTTTGGAAGCTTTTAAACAGAGGCTGGATGGCCATCTGTCAGGGGTGCTTTGAATGCAATATTCCTGCTTTTTGGCAGGGGGTGGGACTGGATGGCCCAGGAGGTCTCTTCCAACTCTTTGATTCTTTGATTCTCAGTCCCCAAATGCATACATGGGGAGGGGTGGCTGCACTTCTTTTCTTGCCATTGCCAAATTCTTCATTAGCACTTTCTGTAATAGATGCAACTGTTCGTTTTCATTATTGCTTCTTTTTTCGACAGGGTGGTAACACTCCTCCTTGCAGCCGGAGCCGACCCCAACCTGGGAGACGAGTTCAGCAGCGTCTATGAAACTGCCAAAGAGAAAGGGCTCCATTCCCTGGAAGGTAAATAAATGCTGTGTTTGTTCTTGTTGTTCTTCCCTCTGGAGCAGGCGTGGGCCAATTTGGACCCTTCTTCCAAGTGCTTTGGACTGCAACTCCCATGGAATCATGAAGGCTGTAGTTCTACAAGGCCTTGAGCCTTTCCTTCCAAAGAGTGCGGATTCCTCACCAATCTACATATCCCAGGATTATATAGCATTGTGTGGTGACAATTAAATTACAGATGTCATCCATCATATAGAAGCTCCTGAAGCAGCTTCCCTTTTTGCTTTGTCTCTGCATTAAGATGGCCGTATGACGCAAATATAAATAAAAGTTTCTTATTTACTAGCCGTCCCCTGCCATGCATTGCTGTGGCCCAGTCCGTGTATATGTGTTTTGTGTGTGTATATATGTGTATATGTGTGTGGGGTTTATTGTGTGTATGCATGCATGCATGCATGCATGCATATATATATATATATATATATATGTACACACACACACACACACACACACACACACATATACATATACATATAGGGTTTTTCACGTGTGTTGTAATATATATTATTTTTATTTTTTATTTTTAAGTCTCTTCCTCTGTGTTTTTCAGTGTTTTTATGAGTGACGGTCACTCATTGGCCCGTTAGGTGTGTTGTGTCCAAATTTGGTGTCAATTTACCAAGTGGTCTTTGAGTTATGTTAATTCCACAAACGAACATTACACTTTTTTATTACTAGCTGTCCCCTGCCACGTCGTTGCTGTGGCCCACATGGGGGTTCTGTGTGGGAGGTTTGGCCCAATTCTATCATTGGTGGGGTTCAGAATGCTCTGTGATTGTAGGTGAACTATAAATCCCAGCAACTACAACTCCCAAATGTCAAGATTCTATTTTCCACACGAAACAGATCAGGGTTTACCCCGAATGCACACGGCTACTCTCAACCACTTTTTGGATGAGGAAGAAAGTAGCTGGAGCGGAGGAAAATTAAGACACTCTGGGGGAAGTTGCGTTCTATATTTTTTTTGTTTGTTTGACATGTTTTATTAAAAAGTATAAATTCACTTTTTTGAAAAAGGAGGAGAGAAAGGCCGCGTGCACAGAAGAGAAGACCTGCCTTTGTTTTATGGGGTTATTTTTTTTAACGATTTGCATATTTTGTATATAAACATATTTTTTCATAAAAACATCCGAACGGGGAGGAGGAGAAAGGGGGGGGGCACGCCAGGCAGAAAGGCAAGGAGGCCGGGGCCGGTGGTGGGAATATATTAGAGACATTTATATGGATGGCAGGGAGGGGAGACGGCGAACGGAGAGCCTTTGCAGGCTCCTCGGTGATGGATGGCGGAGGAGGCTCCCCTTGACGCTTTATTGAGTTTCCGATGATTATCTCTCGCGGAGACATTTTTTACAGATGACGGGCGAGCTGTCATGGTGGACCATGGGGGGAACCGCCACCCAGCAATAATAACGCTTTAATCTTTTTACGGCGCCGCTCCCTAGTATCTCAGATTCATCTTCCCTGACACCAGCCACTTGATTATCCGGTAGGCAAAAGAGGGGCGTAAATAAATATCCCAGCCCCAAAAATCCTGGACCGGGAAGGAAGGCAGGAACCTGTTGGCCTCCTCCTCCTCCATCCTCCTCCTCCTCCTTCTCTGGGCCTGACGTCCATCAGCCTTCATGCCAACCAACCAATGGGAGAAAGGCTCCCCTATTCGTTTCAAAATTGGAGATTTGGCTCCGATCATAACTGGGATGCTTCTCTTTCTTGCTTTTTTGGAATCTGGAAGAGGACACAGATGCTCTTTTCAAGCAGGCTGAATTTCTTGCTACTGAGGAGAGGTCGAAAGTGAAGGGCCATCAACATTTCTCTATACAGAGCAAATAGGGTTGGGGGGGGAAACCTTATAGCTCAGGCATGGGCAAACTTGGGCCCTCCCTCCAGGTGTTTTGGACTCCGACTCCCACAATTACTAACAGCCTATGACTGTTAGGAATTGTGGGAGTCGGAGTCCAAAACACCTGGAGGGAGAGCCCAAGTTAGCCCATGTCTGCCTTAGGATTACTGTAAGTTGGAAACAACTCAAATACATTGTCGAAGGCTTTAATGGCCGGAATCACTGTGTTGTTGTAGGTTTTTCCGGGCGATATGTGCCATGTTCTAGAGGCATTTTCTCCTGACGTTTTGCCTGCATCTATGGCAAGCATCCTCAGAGGTAGTGAGGTCTGTTGGAACTAGGAAAAGGTTTATATATCTGTGGAATGACCAGGGTGGGACAAAGGACTCTTGTCTGCTGGAGCTAGGTGTGAATGTTTCAACTGACCACCTTGATTAGCATTTAATGGCTTGAAAGTGCCTGGGGGAATCTTTCTTTGAGAGGTGATTAGATGTGCCTGATTGTTTACTCTCTGTTGTTTTGCTGTTGTAATTTTTGAGTTTTTAAATACTGGTAGCCAGATTTTGTTCATTTTCATGGTTTCCTCCTTTCTGTTGAAATTGTCCACATGCTTGTGGATTTCAATGGCTTCTCTGTGTAGTCTGACATGGTTGTGAGAGTGGTCCAGCATTTCTGTGTTCTCAAATAAGTAAACAATCTGAGTAAATAATCAGGCACCTCAAATCACCTCTCAAAATAAGATTCCCCCAGGCACTTCCAAGCTTAAATGCTAATCAAGGTGGTCAGTTGAAACATTCACACCTAGCTCCAGCAGACAAAAGTCCTTTGTCCCACCCTGGTTATTCCACAGATATATAAACCCATTTTCCTATTTCCAACATACCTCACTACTTCTGAGGATGCTTGCCATAGATGCAGACGAAACATCAGGAGAAAATGCCTCTAGAACATGGCCATATAACCCGGAAAAACCTACAACAACCCAACTCAAATACAAATCCCATACCTGAGACTAGCATGGGCAGCATCACCCTATTATTGAACTGCCATGGCTGAATGCAAGGGGATATTGGGATGTGTAGTTTTGACAAGGCACTGGGACTCTTTGACCTGGCAAAACTACAACTCCCAAGATTGCATACACATTATTGTTACGTTTTCTTGCCCTGGTGAAGGGAGTTGTACCAGATGGCCTTAAGTATGGGGGTTCTGTGAGGGAAGTTTGCCCCAATTCTGTCGTTGGTGGGGTTCAGAATGCTCTTTGATTGTGGGTGAACTATAAATCCCAGCAACAACAACTCCCGAATGTCAAGATTGCATTTCCCCCAAACTCTACCAGTGTTCACATTTGGACATACTAAGTATTCGTGTAGAATTTGGTCCAGATCCATCATTGTTTGAGTCCACAGTGCCCTCTGGATGTAGGTGAACTACAACTCCAAAACTCAAGGTCAATGTCCATCAAACCCTTCCAGCATTTTCTGTTGGTCATGGGAGTTCTGTGTGACAAAGTTTAGTTCAATTCCATCATTGGTGGAGTTCAGAATGCTCTTTGATTGTAAGTGAACTTTAAATCCAGCAACTACAACTCCCAAATGACAAAATCAATTTTTTTGAGTGAAGAACATGCATTGGGTTGTTAGGTGTATGCTGTCCAAATTTGGTGTCAATTCATCCAGTGGTTTTGTTATGTCAATTTCACAAACAAACATTACATTTTTATTTATATAGACTAGCTTGGGGACCCGGCGGTGCCTGGGTTATTTGAGAAAGGCCAAGGTGGGTCTTTATCAGTTATTTATGTGGCTTGCAGGGGTCTCTGGAAGTTAGTGAAGGTATTGCGAGTCCCATCGTCCATGGTCCATCCTCCTCCAAACAGCACCAGGATGTAGAGTGGGTCATGGGAGCTCTGTGTTCCAAGTTTGGTCTTGATCAGTCATTGGATGAGGGTCGCAGCGATCTCAGGAAGTGAGTGAAGATACTTCAAGTCCCATCATCTGTGGTCTATCCTCCTCCAAACTGCACCAGGATGCACAATGGGTCATGGGGGTTATGGTCTTGATTGGTCATTAGATGAGGGTCACAGCGGTGTCGGGAAGTGAGTGGAGGTACTTCAAGTCCCATCATCCATGTTCCACTGTCCTCCAAACTGCAGTAGGATGTAAAGTGGGTCATGGGGGCTCTGTGTGCCAAGTTTGGTCCTTATCAGTCTTTGTTGGGGGCCACAGTGGTCAGTGGGAACCAAAGCGTTTGAAAGTACTACCAATCCCATAATCCGTGGTCCACTTCCCCCCAAACTGCACCAGGACGTAAAGGGGGTCACGGGGGTAATATGTGCCAAGTTTGATCCAGGTCCGTCACCCGTGCAGGTCACAGTGGCCTGTGAAAGTGGCAGCCAATCAGAAAGCTGCCACATACACCGCCCTCCCTCCACATACAAACACTGACTTTTATTAGATAGATGATTGATTGATTGATTGATAGATAGATAGATAGATAGATAGATAGATAGATAGATAGATAGGTTAAACATTGTAAACATCATTTTTAATGCAGGCCTTGTTTAACGTGCTGAGCTCTACAGTTTAATCCAGGATCTGTCCAAGGTTCTGAACACCAGATTTCAGTGCAGGCCTCGTCCAAGATGCTGAGCTTTGGACGTTGAAGGCCATTCAAAAACTGGTGCGGATTCTCCATCCCAACTTCAGAGAATTGCAGAGTTTTGTGGATTGCACGGAAGAGGTTTTGAAACCTCTTCTGTTATTGCTCTTGAGGTCTGACATCATTAAGGTGTGCCTTCAAGGCCCCTTCCTTATCTGTGTTTATTTGTTCTGCGCATGATCCCAGGAAGCCTAGCAAATACCAAATGAATAACACAACCCAACAAAAAAATAAATATTTTTCTTGGTGTCTTGGTTTTTAGGCTTGTCTCTGATATTATTGCATTGCGTAGACAAGTGGTTTTCAATCTTCCTAATGTGGTGACCCCTTAATACAGTTCCTCATGTTGTGGTGACCCCCCCCCCCAACCATAAAATTATTTTTGTTGCGACTTCATAACTGTGAATTTGTTACTATTATGAATCGTAATGTAAACATCTGATATGCAGGATGTATTTTCATTCATTGGACCAAATTTGGCACAAATACCCAATGCGCCCAAATTTGTATATTGGTATGGTTGGGGGAGGGGTTGATTTTGTCATTTGAGAGTTGTGGTTGCTGGGATTTGTAGTTCACCTACAATCAAAGGGCATTTTGCACTCCACGAATTATGGAATTGAACTAAACTTGGCACACGGAACTCCCATGACCGACAGAAACTACTGGAAGGGTTTTGTGGGCATTGACCTTGAGTTTTGGAATTGTAGTTCGCCTACATCCAGAGAGCACTGTGGTCTCAAACAATGATGGATCTGGACCAAACTTGGCACAAATACTAAATATACCCAAATGTGAACACTGTTGGAATTTGGGGAAAATAGACTTTTACATTTGGGAGTTGTTGCTGGGTTTTATAGTTCACCTACAATAAAAAAAGCATTCTAAACCCTACCAAAGATAGAATTGGGCCAAACTTCCCACACAGAATCCTCATGACCAACAGAAAATACTGTGCTTCCTGATGGTCTTTGGCGACCCCTATGACACCCCCTTGTGACCCTCCAAGGGGTCCCGACCCCCAGGTTGGGAAACACTGGCGTAGACCATTGCTTAGAAATTACTTTCATGGTTTTCTATGGGCAAACAGCTGGAAGCTGGTAAATGGCCTGTGCTCTGTATCTCAAAAACTAGAGCTGATAAGAGGAAACTGGTGCCATTTTTGGGATCAGGAGATCACGTTGTGTATTGGCCAATGAAATCGTCAACATGAGCATTTTGATCTGATCCTAAAGGGCTGCTCTTAATCTTCCAAATTGCCATATTTTATTTTGAAATCACTGTGGCAGAGAGAAGTGTACAACTTTTGAACTATTTTTTATCAAAACAAATATGCCTAAACTCAATGCTCGCAGCTCTCTGGAGCAATCCCTCCCTTCCTGTGATCCCTGTGACAATTGCAAGCTGGACATCAGGAGGACCCCTGATCTTTGGGTGTTTGGGCAAAATGGCCGAAGTCATACTCTCCCCTTACTGAAGCCTTTAGTGCCTCCTGAGCTGAGATGAATTGCCTATTTTTGTTCCATGTGTTGTTGAGGGCTTTCATGGCCTGAATCACTAGGTTGCTGTGCATCTTCCGGCCTGTCTGGCCGTGTTCCAGAAGCATGCTCTCCTGACGTTTCACCCACATCTACGGCAGGCATCCTCAGAGGTTGTGAGGTCTATTGGAAACTTAGCAAGGTAGGTTCATATATCTGTGAAAGGCCCAGGGTGAGAGAAAGAACTCTTGTCTCTTGGAGGCAAGTGTGGATTTTGCAGTTGATCATCTTGATTGCCATTTAATGGCCTAGTAGCTTCAAAGCCTGGCTGCTTGCTGCCTGAGGGTATCCTTTGTTGGGAGGTGATTAGCTGGCCCTGATTGTTTCCTGTCTGTAATTCCTTTTTTTCTGAGTGTTGTTCTTTATTTACTGTCTTGATATTAGAGTTTTTAAAATACTGGTCACCAGATTTTGTTCATTTTCACAGTTTCCTCCTTTTTGTTGAAAATGTCCCCATACTTGTGGATTTCAATAGCTTCTCTGTGTAGTCTGACACACTCTAAAATGTATTGTCGAAGGCATCACAGCTCTGTTTCACCATTGCCTCACCACCAGCTACTTTCAGTGGGACAATGAATTCTACGAACAGAAAGATGGAGTAGCTATGGGGAGCCCTCTCAGCCCGGTCATAGCTAACTTCTACATGGAACACTTTGAAAAACAAGCCCTGGAGACAGCAACCAAAAAGCCCACGATATGGTTCAGATATGTGGATGACACCTTCACCATTTGGAGCCATGGAGAAGAAGAACTCAACAGGTTCCTGGACCATCTTAACAGCATCCACCCAAACATCCAGTTCACTATGGAAAAAGAAAATGAAGGAAGACTGCCTTTTCTAGATGTCCTAGTCATCCGTAAACCAGATCAACAATTGGGTCACACCGTCTACAGAAAACCCACACACACAGATAGATATCTACATAAAAACTCCAACCATCACCCAAGTCAAAAAAGAAGCCCCATTAAAGCCTTGGCAGACCGTGCAAAAAGAATCTGCGAAGCCCACCTCCTCCAAGATGAACTGAACCACCTCAACTGGGCTCTCCAGGATCAGAAGAGCTGCAAGACAACTGAGAAGAAGCCACGAGAGTCAAGATGAAGATCCACCCAGAGGAAAAGTGTTCTTGCCAGACATCAAGGGAACCACTGACCGCAGAGGGAAGCTGATGAGGAAACACAACATACAAACTATCTACAGACCCACCAAGAAAATCCAACAAATGCTTCATTCAGCAAAGGACAAGAGGGATCCTCTCACCTCTGCAGGAGTCTACCATGTACCATGCAGCTGTGGACAAGTCTACATAGGGACCACCAAGCGCAGCATTGCCCAAACACAAATCAAGGAACATGAAAGGCACTGCAGACTACTTCAACCAGAGAAGTCAGCCATAGCAGAGCACCTGATGAACCAACCTGGACACAGCATATTATTTGAGAACACAGAAATGCTGGACCACTCTCACAACCACCATGTCAGACTACACAGAGAAGTCATTGAAATCCACAAGCATGTGGACAATTTCAAGAAGGGAGGAAACCATGAAAATGAACAAAATCTGGCTACCAATATTTAAAAAAAAATAAAATTACAACAGCAAAACAACAGAGAGTAAACAATCTAATCACATCTAATCACCTCTCAACAAAAGATTGCCCCAGGCACTGCCAAGCCATCAAATGCTAATCAAGGCGGTCAGTTCAAACATTCACACCTAGCTCCAGCAGACAAGAGTCCTTTGTCCCACCCTGGTCATTCCACAGATATATAAACCCATTTTCCTAGTTCCAACAGACCTCACTACCTCTGAGGATGCTTGCCATAGATGCAGGCGAAACGTCAAGAGAAAATGCCTCTAGAACATGGCCATATAACCCGGAAAAACCTACAACAACACACTCTAAAATCCTGCCAGTCTCAGGCCCCTTCCCTTTGCCTCAAGCAAACAAGAGTTCTTTCTCGCATCCTGCACATTATTCCACAGATGTATAAACCTCCCTTGCCTAGTTTCCAACAGACCCCTCAACCTCTGAGGATGCCTGCCAAAAATGTGGGCAAAACATCAGGAGAGAATGCTTCTGGAACATGGTAATGCAGCCTGGAAAACTCATAGCAACCCTATTTTTGTTTCATTGGCAATTATGGTTGACCTTCTTCTTCTTCTTCTTCCCTGACCATCGTCTTTTTCCCTGCCTCTGCAGTGCTGGTCACTCGGGAGGATGACTTCAACAACCGCCTGAACAACCGGGCCAGTTTCAAGGGCTGCACCGCCCTGCATTATGCCGTCCTGGCCGACGACTACCCCACTGTCAAGTTGCTCCTGGAGGGAGGTAAGGCTGGGCTTGCCAAGGGCCTTCCTTTTGGACTCCTGTTCCAGATTTCTGGTCTCAAGTTTGAACCTGACCGACCCTTCTTGGTTTCCAGATCAGAGGGGGACAGGTGCCTTAAGTATAACTTGCCCTCCCCCCTTTTCTGAAATAGAGTCCATGGCACCTGGGACTGGTTCCTTGGTGGCCTTCTGGGCTCTTCTGTTTTGGGACTCAGGGCAGATTACAATGTACACATATATGGCAAACATTCAGTGCCATAGACCAGGGGACCTCAAACTAAGGCCCGGGGGCTGAATACGGCCCTCCAAGGTCATTTACTTGGCCCTCGCTCAGGGTCAACCTAAGTCTGAAATTACTCGAAAGCAAACAACAATAATTCTATCTCATCAGCCAAAAGCAGGCCCATACACTTCACACTGAAATACTAATAAGTTTATATTTGTTAAAATTGTTCTTCATTTTAATTATTGTATTGTTTTAAAGTGTTTTTGCACTACAAATAAGATATGTGCAGTGTGCATAGGAATTCATTCATGTTTTTTTTTTCAAATTATAATCCAGCCCTCCAACAGTTTGAGGGACTGTGACCTGGCCCTCTGTTTAAAAAGTTTGAGGATCCCTGCCATAGACACACAACATATATAGACAGACACACAGAGGCTATTTAACATTCCAGCTTTTTCAGGAGGGTATTCTGGCCACCAGGGGAGCTGTCGCTTCACCGTCCATTTGTGACACTGATGAAGTACTTCCTCATTCTTTGCATGCTTGCTGGAGATTTTTATGGCGTCGTAAATTAGCCTCCCCACATAAGTGGTACCTAAATTTCTTACTTGACAGATGCAACTGTCTTTCGGGCTCCAAAGGTCGACAGCAAGCTACACAAATTGGTTGGAAGCTCACTCTGACCCGGGCTGGCTTCGAACTCGGGACCTTTTGGTCAGTAGTGATCTTAATGCAGCTGACTCCCAGCCAGCTGTTCTGCAGTCCCGGTTCTTTCCTCTGAAATACATCGACGGATACCATAGATTTCTTGGCAATTTCCATCCAAGTCCCAAATTATTGCCGTGTGGCTTCAGGTTGTTTCTGACTTATCACGACCCTAAGGCAAGCCTCTCCCAGGTTTTCTTGGCCAGATTTGTCTAGAGGAGGAGGTTGCCATTCCTCCTCTGAGGCTGAGAGTGTGTGACTGGCCCAAGGGCTAACGTGACAAAGTGAAATTTTGCATCCCGCTGTAACGAGGCCACTAATTTGTAAAGAGTTTGTAAAGGAGCCACGAATTTGTAAGGGTTTATTAATTTGATAGCGTAGCTAATAGCTGGTGATATTGACTTGGTCTTTCTTTAATTTGTAGCATGACTTAACTTGGAAAGGAATTGTAACAGAGACCGGGTTTTAAAGAAAAACAGTAACAAGTTTATTGAAATGTAGAAGGAGTGTGATGGTTTCAATGTTTCTTAACTCTTAGAGGCACATATCTTCTTAGGTTACATTTATAACGTTTCTTAAACAACTCTGGAAAGGACCCTTCTACTAAACAGGTTTCAAACTTATTTTTCTTCAAACTGTGTTTCTTCTCTTAATAGATTATTTCTGTTACAAACTTATTCTTTCTTTGTGATGTTTCTGTTGCAGTAGAGATCCTCACTGGGTTTCTCTCACCCTTTCTCCCATACACTAACTATTAATATAAATAAGTCAACTCGACTTACTTAAACTACTCAGGCTTAAAGCCAAAACCTTCCTGATCCTCACTACTATAGAATCAGACTTTCCTACAGTTCACAGACTGTAGACCAACCCACTGGTTCTCAACACACACTAGAACCAGCCTCTCCTGTAGTTCGCTGACTACAGACTGACTGCTTCAAAATGGCTGCCCTGCCAAGTGGCAGTTGGCTCCTGTTTCCATGAGCTGAGCTGGTTTCAATCCCCCCTAGTTATACAACTTTAAATACTTACCCTTTAAACATCTATCTATAATTATACATAACTGCAAGTTAAAAAATTACACTTCACGACGCCCACTTTCCCGAATCTTGGTCCAATGCTCAAAACGCGCTTTTGCCTTAGAGGAGTGGGCAATTGTAGAGGGACTGGGATAAACCCCCCAACCCATTTACTCCTGCGATGACCAGAAGCTGCATTAGAACAATTCTGGGAACTGTTTGAAACGCAGCCAAATTTATGCTAGTTTGAGAGAGGTGGACCTACAATTGATCCAAACCATTATGTTTTTGTGGCTGTTTGTGCATTGTCTGCATGTTTAGAAGTTGTGCTTTTCTGATGAATTCTTATTGGGGAGCGGGGACAACATCCAGAGTCTCTTGAGGCCTTCATGGGCTGCAAAGCAGGGCCTTGGGCCCACAAGAAAACAGTGGTCGACATTGGAATAATGACGTCTAATCTTTGTATGTTTGTTAGGTATTAAATAATATAATCATAATCATAATATGGAGCCCCCGGTGGCGCAGTGGGTTAAACCCCTGTGCCGGCAGGACTGAAGACCGACAGGTCGAAGGTTCGAATCCGGGGAGAGGCGGATGAGCTCCCTCTATCAGCTCCAGCTCCTCATGCGGGGACATGAGAGAAGCCTCCCACAAGGATGATAAAAAACATCAAATCATCCGGGCGTCCCTGGGCAACGTCTTTGCAGACAGCCAATTCTCTCACACCAGAAGCAACTTGCAGTTTCTCAAGTTGTTCCTGACACGATAATAATAATAATAATCATAATACATTTTATTTCTATGCTGCCGCTATCTCCCCGAAGGGACTCAGGGCAGCTAACAAAGTACAGCAAAGTGTCGCATATAGACAATACATAGATCTAAAATATTCTGTTGTTTTAGTGTTAGCAGTTTTGAGTCCCTTTTTAGAGAGATAAAATGGGATAGATGCTCCGGCCCAGCTTACTTATCCGAACGAATTCTCTCTATGTTCCACCTCATAATTTAAGATCTACTGGGGAGCCCTGCTCTCAGTACCACCAGTGTCTCAAACGCGTCTGGTGTGGACGAGGGACAGGGCCTTCTCAGTGGTGACCCCCCCCCCCACCGCGCTTATGGAATTTGCTCCCCAGCGAGATTAGATCGGTGTCCTCCCTCATTACTTTTAGGAAAAAACCAAAGGTCTGGTTTTGAGTTGCCTAAGGGCTGAGAAAAGCGGTATATAAATGAAGTAAATAAATAAATAAATAAATTTTGGAGCCAGGCCTTTGACTAGTGGGCACAGCAGCACTTTAGGCACTGACTCAGACAATAGGATTGTTTGAAAATTGGAAATGGCTTTATGACCTGTGATTATGTGATTTGTTCTATATGATTATGTAATTTTAATTAATATCACTGTCTAATTGTTATGTAATAGGATTTTATATTGCTATTTTATATTGTTGTTTTGATACTGTTGGGATTGAATTGTTGCCTGTGTGAGCCACACTGAGTCCCCCCTCGGGGATGAGAAGGGCGGGGTAGAAATGGTCTAAACAAACAAACAAATAAATAAATAAATCATAGAATCAAAGAGTTGGAAGAGACCTCACGGGCCATCCAGTCTAACCCCATTCTAAACAGGAAAATTGCATTCAAACCCCCCACGACAGATGGCCATCCAGCCTCTGTTTCAAAGCCTCCAAAGAAGGAGCCTCTACCACACTTCAGGGCAGAGAGTTCCACTGCTGAACAGCTCTCACAGTCTGGAAGTTCTTCCTCGTGTTCAGATGGAATCTCCTTTCTTGTAGTTTGAAGCCATTGCTCCATTGCGTCCTAGTCTCCAGGGAAGCAGAGAACAAGCTTGCTCCCTCCTCCCTGTGGCTTCCTCTCACATATTTATACATGGCTATCATATCCCCTCTCAGCCTTCTCCTCTTCAGGCTAAACATGCCCAGCTCTTTCAGCCGCTCCTCATAGGGCTTGTTTTCCAGACTCTTGATCATTTTAGTCACCCTCCTCTAGACACATTCCAGCTTGTCAACATCTCTCTTCAATTGTGGTGCCCAGAATTGGACACAATATTCCAGGTGTGGTCTAACCAAAGCAGAATAGAGCATGGGGAGCATGACTTCCCATTTTTTTGCTGTTCGTATTTGTTGTGAACCGCTGTGAGTCGCCTTCCGGCTGAGAACAGCGGTATATAAGTAAGGATAATAATAATAATAATAATAATAATAATAATAATAGATCTAGACCAGGGGTCCTCAAACTTTTAAAACAGAGGGCCAGGTCACAGTCCCTCAAACCGTTGGAGGGCCGGATTATATTTTGAAAAAAATATGAATTCCTATGCACACTGCACATATCTTATTTGTAGTGCAAACAACACTTTAAAACAATACAATAATTAAAATGAAGAACAGTTTTAACAAATATAAACTTATTAGTATTTCAATGGGAAGTGTGGGTCTGCTTTTGGTTTATGAGATAGGATTGTTGTTGTGTGCTTTCAAGCTGTTTCAGACTTAGGTTGACCCTGAGCGAGGGCCGGGTAAATGACCTTGGAGGGCCGCATCCGGCCCCCGGGCCTTAGTTTGAGGACCCCTGATCTAGACACTACGCTCCTTTTGATGCAGGCCAAAATCCCACTGGCTTTTTTTGCCACCACATCACATTCCTGGCTCATGTTTAACTTGTTGCCCACGAGGACCCCAAGGTCTTTTTCACACCTCCTGCTCCCAAGCCAGGCATTGTCCTCCATTCTGTCTCTTTGCATTTTTTTCTGCTTAAGTGGAGTATCTTGCATTTGTCACCGTTGAACTTCATTTTGTTTGTTTTAGCGCATCATCTCTCTAATCCAGCGTTTCTCAACCTGGGGGTCGGAACCCCTGGAGGGGTCACGAGGAGGTGTCAGAGGGGTCGCCAAAGACCCGCATAAAACAGTATTTTCTGTTGGTCATAGGGGTTCTGTGTGGAAAGTTTGGCCCTATTCTAACCTTGGTGGGGTTCAGAATGCTCTTTGTTTGTAGGTGAACTATAAATTAACGCCTTGAGTCGCCTGAGGGC